TGATCGTCTACCCCTGGACCCAGAGGTTCTTTGATAACTTTGGGAACCTCTCCAGCCCCACTGCCATCATTGGCAACCCCAAGGTCCGTGCCCATGGCAAGAAAGTGCTCACCTCCTTTGGGGAAGCTGTGAAGAACCTGGAAAACCTCAAGGCGACCTACTCCAAGCTGTCTGAGCTGCACTGTGAGAAGCTGCATGTGGACCCCGAGAACTTCAGGGTGAGCTGTGCTCAGGGATTGACCTTCTCGTCCTCCATCCCATAGAATGTCTTAGTGCCTGGAGGGTTTCAAACAAGCATAAATAACATTTTTTCATTTACCAGATTTATGATAATGCCAGGGAAATGCCAGGGTCCAGGCTGTGGTGGGACAAATACAGGGAGATGCTCTGAAAGCTTGGAGGCTCGTGCCAGCACAGCTTGAGAAGTGTGGGAGAAGGATGATGGGCAGCTGCTCCCTGGCACCTCCTGGCCCCGAGGATGGGGACCTCTTCCTTCTCCCCTTTTTCCAAGGCTGGTAGACATGAGGGGAGAGGGAAAAGCAAGTGTGGGGTGGGGTTAGAGACAAAAGACAGGTCTGGGTGTGTGGACAAGGTCAGCAGATGAGGGAGGGGAGCAGGAGGGGAATGAAGCAAAAGAGATGAGGGTGCAGGGGGGTGAGAGGTCACTGTGGGTGGAGAGGGGGAGCAGTTCAGGCTGGGGGAGGTTGAGAGGGCTGGATGTGGCTGATGGCCTCTGTTTCAGTCTCTGTTTAAGTCTGACTTAGGGGATGTGGCAGGTAGACCTCGCACTGACCCCACCTCTGCTTGAAGAGGCGTGGGGATTCAGAGCAGGGGAAAAAAAACAGACAGAAAATGTCTGGAAATAAAGTCTAGAGGCTGGAAAAAGCAGGTGTGAGAAGCAGCAGAGCCAGAGCAGGTGGATACTGGTGCATGTGGTCAGCACAGGACTGTTTTCCTGCACAGAGAATTCAGCTCAAGGACCCATCAGAGAGCTGGGGTCCCTCCAGCCCCCGGTCCCTGGGTCCTGTGCAGGGCAAAGGGGCAGACAGAAAATGTCTGGAAATAAAGTCTAGAGGCTGGAAAAAGCAGGTGTGAGAAGCAGCAGAGCCAGAGCAGGTGGATACTGGTGCATGTGGTCAGCACAGGACTGTTTTCCTGCACAGAGAATTCAGCTCAAGGACCCATCAGAGAGCTGGGGTCCCTCCAGCCCCCGGTCCCTGGGTCCTGTGCAGGGCAAAGGGGTTCTCAGCACCATGCTGAACTGATTTCCTTCTTTCTCCTCTCCAGCTCCTGGGAGACATCCTCATCATTGTGCTGGCGGCACACTTCACCAAGGACTTCACCCCTGCCTGCCAGGCCACTTGGCAGAAACTGGTCGGCGTGGTGGCCCATGCTCTGGCCTACAAGTACCATTAAACCCTCTGGAGGCAGATGTGTCTGTGACAGTCAATAAAAACCCCACATTTTCTGGATTTCCTAGTGTGCTGCTGTGTCTCTGTGGCTGCCCATGGGCTGGGTGGGAGGAAAGGGCATGAGGGGAGGAAGATGGGCTCTGGGCTGCTGGGAGCATCACATTCCAGAAAGGCCATCAGGATGGCCAAAGGGGAGGATGCTGCTCCTGGATATTTGGGCTCTCTCCAAAAGGCATCAGCCTGCTCGCTGCTGCCCTTTCCTGCCTGCCCAGTGGGGCTGGTCCTGGACCTCCATGCACAATGTGATGCTGAGGTGTCCCTTGTATATGGGACACCTGGGGACACTGGTCTCTAAACCAGCGATGGGCACATCCCATCCCACCTAGTACCTGTGAGCTTGCTGAAATCACCGGGGGGATTTCTGACCTGTTCTCTGCAGAAAGCCAAGCTGCAGGACAAGCAAGGGCCCCTCGGCCCTAAACCTCTCAACCTGTGATGCACACAGGGACATAAATCTGTAGAGATTCACTGAAGCCGGCTTAGAAGAGGCAGAAATTTGGCCCTTTGTATTTCAGTACTGATGTATTTTTTAAGAAGCTGATCAAAAGCTTCCTCTGAACCAGCACTGGAAATGCTGTTACCATTGCTCTTGTGCCTTTCGATCAGAACGTGATATCTAAAAGAAAACGATCACAAGAGGAGGGGATGAGGGTGGCTTTTAAACAGGATTGATCAGGACTTTTTTTTTACTCAGATGGGCTTAATGGAAGATTTTTTTCCACTGGAATGGAAGGATTCTGCATAAGCACATCAGTGTCAGCAATGCTTTTCCAGTAATAACTTAAAAAGCACCAAGGACAGACCTGTCAGTGTCTCAGAATGATTAAATCCTTGCTTTGCATGATTTAGGAATAAATTTTCTGCCTTTCTCCTGATAAAGCAGGGATTGGCACTTATGACCCCTCTATCCTACACAGTCAGCCTGACAGGCAAAGGATCCAGCCCCACTGCCCGTGCCGAGAACATCCTGGGCTGGGGGAAGAGAAGAAGGAAAAAAACCCAACAAACAGCAGGTCACTCTCCTTTCAGTCAGCAAACGGGCATCTCAGCGTGATTCCCGGCGGTAAGACTTGTGTGTCTTGTTCCAGTTAACACAAAAGTGCAATTAAAAACCTTGGAAGTTGCCACCAAACAGAAAAGTTCTGCACTTGAGACACAGATGGACGTAGCATGAACAAAACAACTGCAGGTGCATCCAGCAGCACACACTCGGTCTCTGTGTGTTGATACCTTTGGGTCCCAGAGCAGCAAACGCTTGAGCAGTGGCTGTGGACCTCAGCAATACTTTTTTGACCCGGTGTCTGCTATAGACACATCCCAGTGGTGCTGTGGAGCGTGTCCTGCTCCCTGACCATGCACTATGACCAACACCTGGATGGTCCTGTTGGGCTGAATCTGCAATCAGAGGTAGAGGCAAGGGGCAGGATGTGGTGCTGGTGGGGCAGAGCCAGTGTGCCAGGCTTTCCAAGTGAGAGTTGCCTGTCTCTTGTGTGAAGCAAGAGCAAAGTTATGACCATCAACAGCCCATCTGACCTCAAAGAGGGGTTAGAGGTGAGCCCTGGGTGCAGGCTAGATGAACACCATGGCAAGCCTGGTGTTGAAATGACACTGTCTAGTCCTAGCAGTGTTAGAATCATAGAATCATAGAACTGTTTTGGTTGGAAGAGACCTTTAAGATCATCAAGTCCAACCATAAACCCAACACTGCTATCAGTGTTGCATCAGAAGCTCCAACAGCTCTTTACAGAGGAAGCAGTGTCAGTTGTGCCTCCTTCCTTGCTGCTGGGGAATGCAGCAGCACGAGGGACGTGGCTCGATGGAAACATCTCCAGCAGCTGGTGGGGAAAGAAGGAATCAGATGTGCATTTCCAGGTCATCACACTGCAGAGTGTCATGGAATCACAGACTCATCAAATGGTGTGGGTTGGAAGGGACTTTAAAGATCATCTAGTTCCAACCTTAAAGATCATCTAGTTCCAACTTGTCCTCTTTGGGGAGGAGAGCCCAGCCTCACCAGCACAGTGACAAGGGTAAAAGCAGTACTTTTATCTCAGGAGTTTTACCATGAGATAAAATGGTCATCAGGGCGTTTCTGCAGTGGTGGTGCAGAGTGACTCTGGGATGCTCAGGCAGGACTGGGAGCCACGGAGTGCTGAGGGGACAGTGAGCCATCAGCTTGGTCCTCAGCAGTTGGCTCGTGTTCAGGACCTGACTTCTGCCTTGTCCTCTGTTACACCATCTCAGTGAGCCCCAGGTGCTCACCATGAGCCCCAGGATCACCCCATGGTGCAAACAGCCTTTTGGAGCCCAGGGTCCCTTTGAAGTGGTTCCAGCCCTCCATGGCCTGACCAAGGCAGGGCTGGCTGATGCACATACTCATTTTCCTGTCTGCTGCTTCCATTTCAGGGAGGAGGAGTGAGGTCCTGCCCTCAGCTAGGACACCATGAGATGCTGGCACAGAGTGCAATGGGCCTGGACAGGGCTGTTCAGCTGGGAAAGCAAGATCACAGCTAATAAAGTAGGAACAAAGACATCTTTGAGACCTACTGGCTTAAGACACAAGAAAGTGCATGTTTTGGAGAAGAGAGAAGAGCCTGGCCTGGATCCAGAGCGGCAGAGGCTGCGTACAGCTGCCACTGCTGCTGATAAGGGCTCTGGTAAAGCTTGGCACAGGACACTGCCTGCTGCAATCAGAGTGACCAACAAACTCTGCTTGTTTCAGAAAAGCTGTCACTGTAGCTGCCTTTTGCCATCATTGGGATGGTTTTCTATAAAAAGGGAAGGTTCCTGTCCATGGAAGTGGGCATGGCCCAGTGTGGGGACAACAGATGAAGAAGGACTTAGGGGATCTTCTACCCACACCGAAAAGGATGCTCGAGGGAAGAGTCCTGAGCATGGAAAAATCCACCCCAGCAGAGAGCAAAAGGGTCTCTAGTTTTCCTGCTGGGGATAAGAAGCACGCTGCAAGGTTTTAGGAAGAATTTCTTTGCTGAAAGGGTTCTGAGGCATTGGAAGGGGTTGCCCAGGGCAGTGGTGGAGTCCCCATCCCTGGAGGGATTGAAGAGTCGTGTAGACACAGTGCTGAGGGACATGGGTTAGTCATAGGGGACTGGTCAGTGTTGGGTTCATGGTTGGACTCGATGATCTCAAAGGGCTTTTCAAATCCAGGCAGTTCTGGGATGCTGTATTGCTGTGGGTGCACCTTTGACTCTGTGAACTGGAAAAAAGCTACAGAAATTGCCTCTACTTGGCACGTTGTGATGAACATTCCCCCTCCCACCCTGTGCCACCAAACAGCCCCCTCGACAGACAACCCCTGTGCTGGGAGCTCTGAGCATCCAAAAATTGCCAGCCAGGCCTCTGCCCCCAGGACACAAAGCAGGTGAATTTAAAATGTACTTAAAATGAACTCTTTCTTATGACAGTGGAGGAGGACAGGTCCCCTGGAGAAGCCCCAAGCAGAGCACGGCGCTGGGACTGTCTGGGCTGTTGTGTTTTGCTCTTTGCAAAGTGTCTCTCTGCCCCCTCGCAGTGCACAGGGCTGCTGGCAGCGAATGCTCGTGGTGTCCTGGCTGAGGTCACCTGCCATCCTCACAGGCACCTTCGGGGCTGTATCTGCTTGACCATGAGCTGGTGTCACTGACAGTGTTCCAGACCACTGCCCAACTGCTGTTAAACTGCCTCTGGGCTGCTCAACAGAGAAGGTTATTTTCAAATGTCGTTGTGGCTGACTAATCTTCAAACCAAAAAGCCCTCGGAAATCTTTCACTGGGAGTTTAATCTCGTGCTTTTCCTGTCTGTCAGCTGATAACTGCCCTGTGGTGCTAATGCCATTGCTGGAGATGATGTGGAAAGCATTTTGGACGAGTCACTCACCAGGATGGGACAGTGGAGAAAAGGAGGCTGAGGGGAGACCTTCTGGCTCTGTCCAAGTCCCTTGGAGGAGGGTGGAGAGAGGTGGGGGTGGGTCTGTTCAACCAAGGAACAAGGGACAGGACAAGAGGCAATGGGCTCCAGTTGCACCATGGGAGGTTTAGGTTGGATCTGAGGAAAAACTTCTTCATCCAAAGGGCAGTCAGGCATTGGAACAGGCTGCCCAGGGAGGTGGTGGAGTCACCTTCCCTGGTGGGATTTAACAGATGGGCAGACGAGGTGCTCAGGGACATGGGTTAGAGGTGGAATTGGCAGTGTTTGGTTTATGGTTGATCTTTAATGATCTTAAAGGTCTTTTCCAACTACTGTGATTCTGTGATTCTGTGAAAATCATCCAACTTCTGCCATGCAGAGAAGGTTTTATTGCATATTTCTGCTAGCAGTCTGAAAAAAAATAAGCATGGTTCCCTATTTGGTTCTGCCTTTTATTTGGTGTACACCCCACTTCTGATTTGGTCAGGCTCAGAACTGTGCCCCAAAGCCACCCGTTATTAGGCTAGAGGACAGTCACCAGCCCCATACAGAACAAGATATTCAAAATCTAAAATAAAATGAACGCTGTGTTGTCCTCTTCCTGGAGGGCCAGCAGATAAAATTCACATTGGACTGGTTTTGCAGAGTACAGCCTGGTCCCAGACTCCCATGGGCGTCAGCTGGGACTGACTGTCCACATGGGTGACGTGGCTGCCTTCTTTTTCTCACAGGACCAAGGCTCGGAGTAACACCGTGCTCTTGAGTCCCCTAACTCAGAGTTGTGCCTTTGAGGTGAATCCACCTTCTCTGATGACAGGGAATTGTGCTAAAGATGGGAAATGGGAGAGCTTAGGCTCAGAGCAGCATGGACAGCAACGATGGACAATGACGATGGGCAACAATGATGGACAACAACTCTGAAGCTCTTTACTAGGACAGACAAAGGAAGATCTTGTGTTTAAAGCATGGGGCCTGGAATCGGGAGTGACCATTCAGTCCTTGTTTCCCAGTAAGCCTCTGGTCCTTTGAACTGGGGTG